ACCTAAAGATTATACAAGAATGAAACTTACGCTTTTCTAGACTGTTGGAACTTATGCTTCTTCATTTATAGAATTTTAAAAATGATATTGTTAGTCTACTTTTGGTTTATGCTACTGGTTTGTTTTGATGTTGAAACCTTTAAGTTTTTTATTGAAGGACTTTGCTGCTGATTTGATGTTGATGTTGATACCCAAGAATGATGTTTAAACCTTTTAAGAATGACATTGTTGCTAATTTCGTTTTGATATTTAAAACTTAATTGTACTATTGATATATGTACGATGTATACTTGATATATCACCGATATATTATTGATATACAGAAAAACCCTAAGTTTCTATTTACCTATAATTTCTAATTGATTTCTCATTCACAGTAACTTCGAAAATCACCATTGACGTTCACATTGACGTTCCTTTCAAGTTTTCTTTCTCATTTTTAGTAAGTATCAAGTTTTCTCATGCATGCCAATACCTACTGATTTCTAATTGATCAAAAAAATAAAATAAAATACAAGACAAAAGGTTAAAGCAGGTAAAATAGTGATTTACTATTATACAACTGATATAGAACTAATTGACTTATGATATACTATTGATTTACTTCTGATATACTAATGCTGTCAGTTATACTCCTGATATATATGTGATATATGTTTGATATATAATAACGAAGTGATAACTGAAAAGGGTAATTTAGGAATACTGAAAATTTTAAAATCAGGATTTTCAAACAAATGTTATATCTGAAAATATCAAAAAGGCATGCTATATTGTTAAATATAGAAAATTTATATGCTACCCATTACAAATCCCCTTGAATTTAAGGCCACTTTTTATTAATTTTAATTTTAATATTTCAAGCCTTTTCACCAAAAAAGGTTGGGACGCTACTCAGGCCACTTGATTTTTTTTATTTATTTCTACCATTTTGTGTATTTATGTTGAAGAAAATAATTATTAATATCACTTTTTTCTTAAAAAAAAATAACAAATATAAAGCTATAAAGTCATCCGAATAGGCCTGAAAAACTATTTTATATGATATCATCTATTCGATATACTTAGTAACATGTAGGTCACTATCTCAAACTTTGTGATATGAAAGCCCCTACGAATTGGAATTAGAACCTATTTGGATATATGAAAACCCTAATTCACAAACACTAAAACCCTCAAATTAATTCAATTTCAGCCTTTTAGGTAAGATGTGGATTGTCGCTCTTGACCAAATTGAAAAAAAGACTCAAATGCTCAAAATTCCATTAAGTAAAAACTGACCTCAAACAACCCAATGGCCAAACTTTAGATAACCTCCCAACTAAACCCTAAAAGCCACATCATCAATCATACCAAAAAGCCGAAAATGTCCCGACTTAATGTGTTCAAGAAAGTGTAAAATTGCAAAGTAATAAATTACATAAAAATAACTCTTAAATAAAACTTTATTAAAAATATTGACAACATTGACATATTCCAATATAATCATAGAAATAATTAATATATATATATTGAAATGAATAAAATATATATTTCCGTGATTTTAGAATTTTTGTTCACTAGTTACATCTCACTAGCATCATCTTTTAAATATTTCATCAATAGTTCTATAATATAATAGAAAAATAGAAAAATCAATTAACCTATTGAGATGTTAAAATACCAAAAAAAAAATTTATAAATCAATTAACCTATTGAGATGTTAAAATACCAAAAAAAAAATTATAAATCAATTAATCTATTGAGATGTTAAAATACCAAAATTCCTGCCTCACCATTGATACCATATTATGAGGGAAAAAAACAATAATAATAAAAAAAATAAGAAAATGGTCTCGAATCCATATCAAATCCATAAATGTATAGACATTACAACATATCAACATTTGGATGGATATTTTAAGGTAAGAATTGTGGCCAATTAATTACACTGAGATTGAGTTTATTGAGATGAAAAGGCATTAGTTAAAGTGGTTTGTATTGATGCAATCGAATCTACAGCAGACTTTGTGAACCAACTGATCCCCACTTTAAGCCTATGCTCATCGGTTGGTAACCTTATCAAGTATGCTATTTTCCTAGCTGCAAAAATCACATAATGTTAAAATAATAATAATTATTATTATTATAGACGAACACGCCCAAAAGCGCCTACGCCTACGCGGGTGTGATTTTACAAAAACATTTGAGAGGTGTATTTTTCTTTATATAAAGAATAAAGAGAACCAATATTAATTAAGTACTTCTAAAAGTACTTTAGAGTCCTAATAGGCTTTTCAGCATGGAGCGCTTTTGTAACAGTCAAAAGCATTTCCATTTCAAAATCGACTCGAAGAAAAAGTTAAGAAGTATTTTAAAGTGCTCTGTGAGTGAGTGACTTTGGCCGATGTTTCATGCAAAACACTTAAAAAATACCTAGAACTAAACATCAAAGTGTTTGTTACTAAACGCTTTTGATTAAAGTGCTTATAATTAAATACTTTTGCTCAACTTTAAACGTACTTCCCAACCCACTTTTATAAGAATGAATTTAGGATGATTTTTTTACCTGAGTGATTAGAGGTGAAACAATGGTTATAACCACCTCGTGTTTCTAAGTGCTTACTCTAATTACTCTAATGACTCTAAAGACACTTAAAATTAAAAAAGTACTTATAAATGCTTTTAAAATTTCTAAAAGCAGTATGTAACCACTATTGTGAAAGTTAAATTAACTAAAAACACTAATTAGTCTGGCCAAACCCATCCCAAGTGTTCCTAGAATTTTTAAAAAGCACTTTTTACTGTAATTATCATCTCAAACTCACTAACTAGTCTTGCCAAAATCACCCTCAAGTGCCCCTAGAATTTTTAAAAAGCACTTTTAAATGTAATGGTCATCTCAAACTCACTCTAAGCAATCGTACCTGCATGACCAATTGGACCTTCTAAGGTTAAACCATCAATGAAACTCGGAGAAATTGAAGCGTCATTTCTACCCAAAGTCATCATCTCTCCTAAATTCTGATACCTGCAAGTCAAATAGACCAAGTACAACAATTTGGTAGGGTAAGTTTGAGATGCCTTTAATATTTTTAAATGAAACACGTTTATGTAAGCACTTATGGGAAAAAAACTAACTATATCAATATGTTTCATATAAAAGCACTTTTAAGCATTTTGTATCTACTTTTAGCATTTCTCACCTTTGATTACTTAAAATTTTAGAAGTGATTTAGTTGGTTGAAAACACTTTTAGTTTTTATCCCAATTTAAAATTTTAACTGAACACTTTAAAAAGCATCCCAAGCAAACTCTTACTCGAGGAAGAAAAAATGTGAATACGGCCAAGAACAACTAAATCAAGAAATTCGCACCTAAAGGGCAAAAGAGGACGGTTGTTGATGGCAGCCCAGAGATTCCAACCAGCAAAGTCTGCTTGCTGGAAAGCAACCTGCTTGGAGAACGGGAGCATATATTCAAATCGACGACTTTCAAGAAAACGTATTTAGAAAAATGAAATAAAATAAAGAGTGGGGCAGGGGGAAATTAAAGAAAATGCTAAGGAGGCATTTATTACAATGAATGAATATATATATATATATATATATATATATATATATATATATGTGCATATATATATATATGCATCTCATACCTGTGCCGTGGCAGGAAGAAGCCGTCCATTTGAATCTCTTAGTGCAGACGAGTCACCGAGCGCAAATATCCGTGGATGGCCCTTAACACGAAGAGTTTCATCGGTTTCCGCTTGCCCCCGAGCATTCAGAGGAAGCTGTTCACGGTAATTTTCAGAAGGTTCCAGTGTAGGAAGCAGAGATTTTGATCCAACAGTCCATAATACTAAATCCGCTTCCAGGGTGCGACCTTGTAATCCTTTTTCAGCAGGTTGAAGTTCTAACCTATACCTACTTGAACCAAGATCTGATTGAGTGCCTTGGCTTGGTTTGTTGTTGTTCAGCTTCTCTGAGATTTCTGCATCATCCACTCTCTGAATACTGCGGACAATGTAACCTAGGAGAAGTTTGACTTTGCGAGATGATAGAACCTAACATGATAGCAAGATTAACACATTTAATTTGAATATATGTTGTCACAAATCTTGATTTAGGCTCGAATTTCCTTCAACAAGATCATAGGAATAAATAGTTTGCACTAGTATGAAACATGTGAAGACATGAAAAAGCCTATTCTATTAGGTTCTTAACCCAAATATTCTGTTTTCACCAACATTGAGAATAATTTCATAAAAAGAAAATTGCTTTCATATCCAATTGAATCAATTCGAAAAAGTTTAATTTCGGAGAGTGTTGAAAAACTGTTTTTCTCTTTTAGATCTTATTTTCTTTATACAAGTTAATTGCGTTCTTCAACATTTATCAAACAAACTTGGCACAATGAAATAGCTTAAATAAACATAATGGTTTCTTATTTTTGGCTAACAATATAAAAAATCTATCAAATAAAAACGTAAATTTAGGTTACGTTAGGCTAACTATTTAACCTTCAATAAAATCTAAAATATTGAAGACTATTTGTACTTTGAAAATTACTAATTCTAAAAATAGAATACTAAAACCAGCATCTTTGAAGATACCCTACAACAAACGAACTTTTCACTTAAATATGTTGAACACAAGATACTCTTTTGCCTTTAATATTCAATTATGAGGAATTAAAATTCAATAGCTTGAATTGCAAAGAAAATAAGAATTTTACTTGACATGCATAATGAAGGGTCATTTAACAGAAACTCATTCTAGATATATCTCGAAACGATTAGCTCCTATTTAGTTGTGTCCCAAGTTTGATAACTTACTTTAAGAGCAGCCTCCCTATTCCCAGGTGGAGCAGTAGGGCAGATCACAGTCTCCACATTAATCGCTTGCACCAACCCTCTGTCTTGCAATCTCTCAGATATTGTGGCAGCTAACTCGACACCAGAGTAACCGCAACCAACAACAGCCACACGAATCAAGGATTTCTCACTAAAGTTAACCCTCTCCAGGGTTTTCAACCGGCTGTCAACCCTCTGAAAAACAAGGAGTATCAAAACATAAATTAAACAACTCACTTCAGTACAAGTGATTGCACCTCAGCCGAGGTATTCTTTTGGAAGAGTTAACTCACTTGTGCGTCCCGGAGGGTAGAGAAAGGTAGCGCGAAGTCGGAAGCCCCTGGTACAAGGTCAAGTTTAGCTTCAGCACCCAAGGCAAGAACCAACCTGACTGTCCAAGCCCCATAAGAGAAAAAGTTGAGACTACCTTTTTTATGCCAGCAAGAACAACCAGAGGAAAACTATATACTCTACTTGAAGATTTTGAATGTCCAATGGAAAGTTAAAGAAATACCAATCATATTCAATGTGGAGGCCACTTTCAAGATATACAGTTCCCCCACAACTAGCACTTTTGGGATTTCTTGCATCAAAATGATCGCAGGGGTCCAATAGTTTCACTTTATCTTGAACAAACTGGATGCTAGTATTGGCCAGCAGATCAGAAAAGCGAGGTGCAATTTCCCATGCATCTACTTCTGTATTCAAATGGAACAATAATTTTTTCTTTTTTTATTGAGGCGAATTTAGCACATGATCCCACAGTGGTGTAAATTCTATACAGCACAAATCAAAAGACAAACCTCCAGATAGAAGTTCGTACAACATTGGCTTGAAAACAAAATGTTCAGACTGGTCAACAAGCAGCACCTGGTTCCATTTCAATAACATTAAAGACAATCTTAAATGAACCTCTAGTAACTTGAAATTACTTCCCAGACATTTTCTCCGGTAGGGAGTGAATACAAAATGCCAAAAAAACTAGTAAATAATACTCTTCAGCAAGCTAATAAGTGAAGAAGAAAATGATTGTCTGAAACAGTGAGAGCTTCCATTTTGTCAAAATTCTGAACTATGAAACAGAAAGTCAAGGAAAGAGAGACATGCATTAGTTCTCCTTCCATATTTTGCACGAAAATACGTATCTTCAAAAGGGTAAAAAAATTTAGTCTGCTGCAGGTTCAGTGAGTAAAAAAGAGAGCAGATATTGTGTGAACTTCAGCCTCAAACATGACAAGCTGCTTGTGCTATTGCTCATATAATAATTAGTCAGGAGGCCAGGTATCCGTGCATAGAAAATTCGGGGATAAAGCAATATGCATTAGTAAAACATATTTATCAAAAAGAGGCATCTACACGCTAAGTGAAACAGGTATAGCTAACAGGTGAGCAATTAAATGATAAGATTGCTAGGATGTGTTATCCTAATGTTTTGTCATCTACCAAGAAAGAATTTCGTGGTATGTGAGACAAGGAAATTTCCTATCAAGAACCCATTCTTGGCTTAGACGCCTCCATGATACAATGTGTTGAGTTCTTTCCAAAAAGACAGAAAGCAAATATCAAAATGTTGCTCCAGCCTAGTAGAAACAATTGGGCAAAATGGCTGCAAGCATTTGGCGTAATGAATGAAGTGAGTCAAATGAAAGATGTTAAATTAATTTCAAACTACTTTAGAAGTATACCAATTACCAACGTTTATAAAGGGTTAAAAAACACCTTTGGTCCCTAAATTTTCGTTAAAGTAACGATTTAGTCCTTGAGCTTTCAAAAGTAACAATTTAGTCCCCAGACTTCAAAATTGATTATAATTTAGTCTCTCCCATTAAAAATGATATTAGATTTAATAGAAATCTGGCATGCTTTATCCATGTGTACAAATGGCCAACTGTGCGGATTGGTTCAATCTCGGTTGGTTCAAACTTGGACCAATTTAGAACTTAAAAAAAAAGAACTGAATTACTACAAGGGGAAAAATGCCCACCTTTCACGACTCTCAGGTCATTCTCCAACGGCATCTCATCGTGAAGAATGCCAAAAATTTAGAAATTAAACTTTGGATCGAATCTCTCCTTCCTGCCGATATTGTGCAGAACACAACAAGCTCTGAGCACCACATCGGTGGACCAGAAGAAGCCAAACAAGGTAGGTGGCAACAACGACAGCGGCGACATGGCGGGCTGGTTCGATGTGGATGTTAAAGATAATCTTCAGCGACAAGATGGTGAGAGTGCAGTCAAAGACTGTGATCTATCCGTAGGTGATAATGATGGGCGTGTTACGAGATCTGGAATTTCTCATCCACTATGCCCCCATTACGAATGTGAACGATTTTGTGCTTCGAGATGTTTTGATTAAATTTCCAGAGGGGATGGCCACAGAGGAAACTTTGAAAACTGCTGTTTTTTCAAGATTAGAGTAGTAGAAACAGCAGCAACGAAACCAACTCAAATAAATTCACTATTCTCACGCCCACAATATAATTAAAGGTTTCTCCATTTTTCCCCTCTTCCTCTTTCTTCATCTTTTAACTTCAGAACATCAAATAGGTTTGAACTTTTCTCCGGTTGGCGTTTGACGTGTCTACCAATGAATTTGTACAAAATTGAATCCCAGATTTCATTTCCTAAAACATTTGAAATCTATTTTTGAACCACAAATGTGGATGCAGCTTGCTGAATCTCTCCGACGGTGGTCCTCGGAGCTTGCTGTGTGTTTTGCACAAATATCTGTGAGATGAAGAAGGAGATGGTCCAAGTTTGAACCGACCCACACAATTGACCATTTAATTTGTACACATGAATAAACCACATCAGATTTTGTTAAATCTAACATCATTTTCAATGATAGGGACGAAATTGTAACCAATTTTAAAGTACATAGACTAAATTGTTACATTTGAAAGTTCAAGAACTAAATTGTTACTTTAATAAACGTTCAGGGACCGAATTTGTGTTTTAACCTTTCTAAAGGTAACTTTTTGTGCTGGTGAACAAAATTAAAGATACATTTTTGCACAGAACATACTTCACATTGAGAGAAGGTTAGAAAATTGAAGGGTAGACAAGGTATCACTTATCATAATAAAAACATTGAGTACAATCACAAAGGAAAAGAAATTACAGAATATACCAAAAGAATCCAAAGTTTGATAATATCGCTAATTTTCCAAATTAGTAGTTATGTTTCCGCTGCCTGATAATATCGCTAATTTGATTAAGGAAAAAAAAAAACCCAGTGCAAGTGAAAAAAAGTATTTTAAGTTGTTATTTGCCAAAGGATGTCCCCATTGAGATCAACACTAAGAAAATGTTTCTAAGATATCATTACTCCAAATTGCAAGGAAATACGGATAATCTTCAAAGATTTCCAACATCTTTTAAACCCCAACTGTGGTCATATATTAATCCTGCCTTAAAAGTATTCAATATTCATGCATGATGCAGCTAAAAATATTGAAAATCTTTTCTTAGTTCATGAGAAGTGTAGGGGTTGTATGGGCTAATATCAGATTAGCCGCACAGAAACCCTATGGTTGCCAGCAACAAGGCCCACCATCCTAGATCTGCTTTCTAGGCCGGAAATATTTTAACAGCAAAAACAGCAAATCAAATAAGTCAGAAAAGGCAACAATCACTTTGTTTTTTGTAAATATTGCACTTACTCGTTATTCACATTTCACAACCTGTTTGACTTGTTGGAAAGGGAAAAGGAAAGTGAGACATGGAGATATCACATTATAGAATCTAATAAACTAATCAAAGGGCAAATTACCTGAGGCTTTTTGTTTTCTGGCCAGACAAGAGATTCAAGTCTCAGAGCAGTATACAATCCTCCAAATCCTCCACCTAAAATGCACACTCTTGGCTTCTGTGAATTCAACATTAGATTACAAATTAGCACTTTGGCTTAATCCACTTGACATATAATTTAAAGAATTGCCATAAAGAACAAAAAGATAAAACACATTAACTTTTGAAAATACACCTAAAGGAACCAGTACCATAAGTGCACATTTCAGATACAATAATGTTGGACAGAATGAATAACTACCCTCCTGCATGATATACATATACTGTTATTTGTTCGTTGTGTTCCACGTGTATACCATTAGTCTTTGTGTTCTTTTATATGTACATATATACAGACCTTAGTTTACAATAACAAGGCTCTGACCTAATTCCTTTACCTGTGACTATACATCATTCACATCTCCCTTTCTTTTGCTTTGTAATTAAATTTTGATTTGTCACCAGAGACTGTGTCAATGCGGAAAACCCAACCAGTTCTAGAGCTCTAACAGGATCTTCGTCTGCCACCAAACTGCTAACCTCCCCAATCTCCAAACCCTTGTTTATCTGAAAAGCCAATATGTAAAACCTACTCTGCTCTTCTCTTCTTTATCTCAGGCTGTAAACTAAAGTAAAACTTGGAGAGCATGACTACCTTCAATGAAAGAGCCGGCTCCAAAATGTAATTAATGCAAATGGTTTACAGAAATTCATAGATGGAGCTCCGCTCATACCTAATAAATTTTCTGAAGTGATTATAATCAAGAAATCAATGTTTATCATACATTGTGGCAAAAGTATAATACTATTTATGAGTAGGATTCTTGTGGCAAACCAACTAGATATGGCAATCAGTCTTGAAGGGGAAGCTCTAGCATAGTTCTGATGGGATAATAAAGTCTAATTGGTCCTAGTATGAACTTGGCTCACCTCATGCCCTAATAAACTTATTAAGTGACTAGAATAAAAAAATCAATGCCCATCATACGATGGGGCAAAATTATAACACATCTATGAGTAGGATTCTGGCAACAGACACAGACCAACAAGATATGACAATGATCAGTCTTGAAGTGCAAGCTCTAGCATAGTTCCGATGGATGGGATAGTAAAGCGGCTATTTGGTCCTAGTATGAACTCCGATGACTAATTCTATGCATGTTCAATTTATCACAATAATCTACTATGAGTAAGAAATTTGTGGCTTTGCAATGACAACTATGGATTGTGCATGACTATTGACAGCAGTTTGAACTCTTTAGAAGGCCATTTAAGGAATATGAATGTATTAAAGGCACATTTTGTGATTGTGTCGAAGAAGGAAGCCAAGGTTTAGTTAGCTCATGATAACAAGGAACTAACCTAACTCCTCTGACCTCTGCCTAGCACCATAAAGGTGCCCCTTTATCTTACAATGTAACCAAAACCTATTTAACAATGAAGTGATATGATAAAAAGATGCATAAATCATATCAATCGTACTGTGTATTACATAAAATTTGTAGTATATAAAACTTAACTATTGTAGCTAAGGAGTAACCAATAGTAAATAATTAGTCCAGGCCAAATGAAACTGACTACAAGATAAATCTAATTTAGGGAACTTTTCTGAAATAAATATACAATTTTTGATTGACAACACCAATGAACTAGTATGATGCCGTTAACAACTCGCTCTTTTATTTGCTGCAATTCTAAGATAGTCAAATGGCATAAGTAAATGGAAATAAATTGATGTAAACTACACTCATATCTCATGCAATCTAACGCAACTATAAAAATAGTATGTTACACCAACTCAATTCAACAATGTCAGAATAAACAAGACCACTATATATAAACCATCATCAGAGAACATCCGACCTTGTAATCTGGCCAAGTATAAAAACGCCTAGTCGGTTCACTTTCAGATATCTCTGCAACACCTCCATCTTTCTCTGTTGAATTTGAAATGGTACATTTGATACCCTTCCCTCGAGAACTTGAGAATGGACAAAAATTGGTTCCAAGTCTTATCGAAGAACCTGGAAAAAGTTTACCGAATCGACACGTTGCACCTGAAACTACAGTCTCGGGAAGAATCAGAATGGACAATTCATCATGACTAGAAACCATAGATTGCTTCTTTACTTTTTGGTGCACAAATTGTCTAGGTAATACCAACTTTGTGAATTCCTATTAATGTTATACCAATTCCTTATGAATGCAAAAATTCTGCTAATTTATTTGCAGCAATCTTGTCACGAACAGTTCGAATAGAATGGTTAGCTCTCAACAGGCAGCTAATTAAAACATTTACAATCGAGTATCTATCTTTGTGCTGCAAAATCAGGCTTCCCAAAAATTAAGGACAAAAGCAAAATAAAATCAACGGCCAACATCGAAAAATCTTTGGAATACGTCCGCAATTTCCAGAAACCATAATTGAAAATTATTTGCGAGAGAGTGGGAGAGATATACGATTTTCTTCACAACAAACAGAAATCGTTCAAAAATCCATTTTCTTGTAATGAAGACGTGAAAAGAGGGAGAGGAAGAAAGCTTACAATTGAGGGTTCCGAGTGTGACAGAAAAAGATAATGAGATCGGCGCCATGGATAACTGCAACAAGTACAGATTCTTGGAGAGAAGAGAAGAGAAGAGGAGAGGAGAAGGTCTGGAAAGTGGGGAGTGGAAAGTGGCTGTTCTAATTCCACGTAGCAAGGACGGAGAACTCACAAAAGTGAATCCTTTTTTTCTTTATTTTCTAATTGTCAATTTGCGTACTTTCAAATTTTACTTATTTTAGTTCATCTACTCTCACAACTTTTGTATTGATACTAGTAGTCATCGATTCGATTTAAATGTTAGGTTAAAATACTATTTGATCCTGTAATTTAGATTTGGATTTCATTTTCATCGGTGTATTTTGAAAATGTTCATTTTAGTCATTGTATTTTTAAAAGATATTTATTTTAATAATGGCTCTTAAACTACCTAAGCGACCGTTTGTTTCCCGTTTGAATTCACATGTTTGTTTTGCTATATATGGATATCTCGAGATGTCCATACGGAGGTATATTACGAGTTTTGAATGCTCTTTTGAAACACAGGTTTTCAAGATTCCCGTGTTGATGGCATCCATTTCTTACATTTTTGTCCTCCATTTTTTTCTCCATATATTTTCTTTAATCTATTTTTTAAAAATTTTTCCTAGAAAATTTCTTTATTTTTATTTTTAAATTTATAATTAAAATAAATTAATATACTCATCGTTTAATAACTAACTTTATGCTATTAAGTATATTTGTACATTAGATTTACATTATTAATAATATTTATTATCATAAATATATAACATTTTTTTATAGCGAACATACCCGTGACATTTTTCATCTTAAAAAAAATATAATGTGATGATAGGATAAATAAATTTTACCCAAGATAACATAAATTATATAGTTATCCTTCTGGAAAACTATTAAAGTTGAAAATGAAACTTATATTAAATTAATAATGAATTAATTTGTTCTACGAAATAACATATAAAAAATAAAAATATTAAATTAATTCAAATAAATCTATTATATTAGATGAATTTATAAATTATATAAATATTTATGAGGGCATTTTTGTAACATTCTATAAATTTAACACATTCCTAAGAATAAATTCTGCAAAACAAACGTAGCTATCCAAATATTCCTAGATATTTTTAAAATATTCCTATGAAACAAACGTGGTTATCTGAAGATGTCGGACACCTAACATTCCGGGCATCTCTAGATGTCGGTCATCTACATTCTCGAAAAATAAACGGCACCTAACGGATTTATGACGTGGCATTTTGAATAAGTGCCTACGTGTTCCCCCTGCCAAATAATCGATACTCTCAAATAATAAGGATCAAAGATCGAATTTTATTGAATCCCCACATTTTAGGCCGAGTGAGGTCAATATCTCACAACAGTCTGGAATTTAAATCAGGCTTCGTTTAAAAATAAAATAAAATAAAAATTGCTTGGTGCTTCTCTTTTTTCGTAGCAGCATGACAATATTTCTAGAATTTTAATCGATCAAGTTAGGCTTCTCTTTTTCGTTCACTATTGGTAGAGAGTGGGTGCTTAGGGCGGCTTCAGCAAACAATCTGAATCAATTTGAGGCCTCAGCATACAGCAGAATTACAAGTCACATTTTGGGTTTGAACTGATTCCAAACGCTCCATGCACTTTCAAGCTTTTTAAAGAAGGAAGAGTAGGAGTATTTTTTTCTTTAATCGGCAATCCCATTTGCCATTCTAAGTGAGTGGTTAAAAATTTTTGTTTTATTTGAAAACAACCTTTTATATTCAATGTGTTGTTGCATTGTATTTTTTTGATTATAAGTTTGATTTTTTTTTCTTTTTTACGTTTTCTTCTTGATTATGGTTTATTTTAAATTGTGGTCTCTATTGTTTCACTTAATTGATTATGATTGTTGTCTTTCTAGTGAGATCATGTGGAAAGTAAATGTTATACTGTTCTCATTGTTTTCAAATGGGTCATTTTATCTCCTATCAAGTAAACAAACTTCTTTCGTGGTTATTAGAACTCTTGTATTTGCATAGTTAAAAACTTGTCCTTAATTTAAACTAAAAATTTAAAGTTTGTTTGCATGTTATGTAGAGATGTATGAGTTTAGCATAGAGGTTCATCATGGTAGGAAGTTCCTATGTGATCCTAATATGAGATATAAGAATGGAAAGGTGGATTTAATCCATGATGTTGACCCGGATATCTGGTCTTACTTTGAAGCAGTGGATATTGTGGAAAACCTTGGATATACTAGCGGGAAGAAATTATGGGGTAGGGATCCTAAAAATGATGTTGGATATCATGTGCTAGAGAGTGATATAGATGTTATGGAGTTGGCAAGACTCATTAGTAATGGGATGAGTTTTTAGTTGTTGGAGCATGAGTCTTTTAATGATGATTATGATAACTTTTCTGGGAATAGTGAGTATTTTTTTAGTGATAATGAATTCAATGACTTAGTACTTGATTTATGTGCCGAGGGAGGTGTAGAAGGAGAAGTAAACGAATGTAGTAGTCTTAACATGGAGGAACCGTTGGAATTAATTTAATAATTAATTCATATGTGGCTAACAAATTAAAGAGCAATTGAATTTGGGCTATTTAATGGGCATATAAGTGATCTTGATTATGAGCCCATGACTCTCTATTTAATGGTGTGGCTTGCTGAGTAGAAACCAACCCATTAATTTTATGGTATTATGGGAAACCGTAGGATTAACCTATAAATATATGGTTATGGTAGTTATGGTCCATACACTACGTTTCTTGAGCCTCATGTTCCCCATCAAACATAGAGTATTGTCCGAGTTGCATAGTTGAGGAAGACCATAAACCACAACTTTTTGCAGGTCAGATCAATCTATCTAATGTTTCCAGGTTATTTTAATATCTCTATAGATTTTAATTTTCTTCCATGCTTAGATCTTTGGTCTTGATTGTTGTGTAATTTTATGACTTTTATTCTAGAATAATCATGAATTAGAATTTCTTTAATTTTTCCAACAAGTGGTATCAGAGCATGGTTTTGCATGGATGATTACTGTATCTTTATGAAATTTTTTTTGGGCATGTTGTTCCTTTAATAACCTATTTATTCAAAAAATATATGCTATTGGAATTACTTGGGATTGATAAGATGTTGAATATTTTTGGGTGACTTAGAAGTCCTAATTACTGAAAATTGTTACAAACCTTATGGCATAATTGAGTTGTTCAAGTTTAATACTTTTTCTAATTTACAAATCAGTTTATGGGTTTTTTGTTGTTATATATATGTAATTTAATAAAGTTTTTACGGCACTGTGCAGAACTCCAGAATGTCGCTTGAAGGATCACCCTAGCATTTGAGTGAATGTTGCAGTGGGCACTGCAACATAATTTTTTTTTTAATATTATGGTTTTTTATATACTTTTAAATATAAAATTTTTTATTTTTATTGGGCATATTTAAATATGGAGGACGATTTAATTTGCCTTTTATATTGTGCTAATAAAGATTAGTCGTTATGGTGATAAATTAACAATTAATCAATACTTTGCACAATTTTAATTTTCTATGAAAGTTTTTATTTTAAAAAATATTATTGTTAATTGTTGAAAATAACTTAGGTATTTTATTTCCATTTGGAAACCATTAGTAATAATTTTGTGAGATTTGTATATTGTTATTTTTTGAATTGCGATCAGCCCAAAGGAAGGTCACAATTTGATCAAATAACAAATACACTTGCAATTATGGAATGAATTATTGATATTTGTTTATTGTGCGCTACAATTAGTGCTCCGTAGCCTATGTTGAGTTGTTGATCAGTTAGAATATCAATAAAATTCCTTTTAAGAAATCCAGTTTTGATTTTTCTTTCAGAATTTATAAATTGTTTAGAGGACTTTTCCCATTATTAAATTATGCATATAAAGATATTATTATTAATTTTGAAAATAGTTTTTGTAGTTTTATTTTCATAAATATTAAATTAATAATAATTAAAGTTACATATGTTGCATAATTTTCTGATTCTTTTGGTTGGTGTTGATTTGATGACGCATGCTGCCAAAGTAGCTTTTGATTTCTGATATTGACATCTTTCCAAATTATCAGATGTTTGTGGGCTTGTGTATTTATACGCTCTGTAGTCGGCCCAAAGGAAGACTTCAGTTTGGTCAAATAATAAGTCCACCTATAGTTAGAGTGATAAACATGAATAATATAAAGTTATGCCATATGAGTGATTTTCGACCCAAAGGAAGGGTTTCACTTGACAAGATTGATTATTAATGTTTGATCACCACATTGAGAGTATCACTTGCAAGTTGATATTGTCGGCCCAAAGGTAGGCTATCAATGTTGTGCTAGGTATCTTGTTTCCCTCATTGAGTTTAAATATAAAGAATGTTTATAAATACTTAAGGTTAATTTCGAGCATGTTTCATTATTGAATGAATCATGGTTAAATATTAATTCATTACCTTATTATGAATTTAAGAAATATATTTTTTAAAAATTTAAAGGAAATATTTCTACTTTTTACTAAGTAGTATTCCTCTAAGGTTAAATGGAATCTTGAAAAGTGGGAGAAACCTGGGGATTCCGTTTAATGAGGAGATAATTAAGAAGTTCCTTAAAGGACAAAGATTGTTCTGAAAAGAACAAAAGAAATAGAATTTAAATTTTTTAATAAAGAATAAAGGAGCACTAGTGAGTACTGTATTTGATACTTATTTGAGACATTATAGAGTCAGTATGTAGTGGTTTATGATAATTATACAGGTAGATATTGAACTCTTAATAACCTAATTTCTGACCATATTTTTTTAAAGAAAATGAGTTAAGTAGAAAAATACAAAATGTACTCATTAATTAATTATTTCCTTAAAAAAAAAAAGAACTTAAAGTTGCTACCAGTTGGTACTAAGGTTTATTTGGAGCATATGTTTGCCTAAATCACAAAAGAATCAAGCTTAATACTTCTCTTGATATTTTTAGAAAATTTTAACATATAAAAAAAATGCTGCAAATACATCCTCACATAAAGTATAAAGAAAATATGGCTTCTCACTGTGGTATTTAACAAGCTAGACTTGCATATGAAACCTTATCATATGTGTTGAATAGATTTTGGTATTTCTACTCGTTCCTTGTTGGTTCTCAAGATTAAACAAACATTC